AGGCTTTACTGAGGGCCAGTAGAAAATGCCCTGGCATCAGTGGGCATAAACAAGGCCCCATTGGAATAGTGCCCCATTGTCGGTATCAATGGGAAGAATAGTGCCCTATCTATGGTGTCAGTTGGTGGAATAGTTCTCCAATGGCCAAATAAAAGCAAGCAAGGGGCCACACCCGGCCCCCGTGCTACAGTTTGGAATCCACTGCGCTAAGCAATCTGCTCCATTTTATTGCTCCCAGTAATGCAGAACAGGTAAAGAACGGTTTAATAACACACTCCTACGTATAAACAAGCGGTGGTTATATACCAACTTTAGAACCATTTTCACTGAGGATTTAGTCCCCCTATAAAAACATGAAAGCTATTAATGAGCTGCATTTAAATCGCTGGGGACTATGCAATAAAACAGCAAAGTTGTAATGGGGAGTCGGGTGACAGGTTCTCTTTATGGTGTCCCCCCCTGACTTTTTATCACCGCAATATTTACATAGTAAAAGGATTATGTAAATGAAATACTCACGGCCGCCTCCGCCTCTTGCTTCTTCTGCAATATATCTGACGCCGAGCTTTCCCACTGCTTCTCCAGCTCCCTAATTATTGACACAAACACAAGGAGACTTTTACTTGGGAGATCGGGACACTCGTGGCAAATCATTCAAAGATGTACAGCAACATCCTCCGAACACCCAGAGAATAAAAAGGCGTACCTCATTTTAAACCCCGTTCCAGGAATAGTGCCCCATTACTGGTGTCAGTGGGAGGCATACAGCTCCGTCATTGGTGTCAGCGGGAGGCACACTGCCCCGTCATTGGCGTCAGTGGGAGGAATAGTGCCCCATCATTGGTATCAGTGGGGGGAATAGTGCCTCATCATTGGTATCAGTGGGAGGAATAGTGCCTCATCATTGGTGTCAGTGGGAGGAATAGTGCCCCATCATTGGTGTCAGTGGGAGGAATAGTGCCCCATCATTGGTGTCAGTGGGAGGAATAGTGCCCCCTCATTGGTGTAAGTGGGAGGAATAGTGCCCCATCATTGGTATCAGTGGGAGGAATAGTGTTCCATCATTGGTGTCAGTGGGAGGAATAGTGCCTCGTCATTGGCGTCAGTGGGAGGAATAGTGCCTCATCATTGGTATCAGTGGGGGGAATAGTGCCTCATCATTGGTATCAGTGGGAGGAATAGTGCCCCATCATTAGTGTCAGTGGGGGGAATAGTGCCTCATCATTGGTATCAGTGGGAGGAATAGTGTCCCATCATTGGTGTCAGTGGGGGGAATAGTGCCTCATCATTGGTATCAGTGGGAGGAATAGTGCCCCATCATTGGTATCAGTGGGGAGGAATAGTGCCCCATCACTGGTGTCAGTGGGAGGAATAGTGCTCCATCATTGATATCAGTGGGAGGAATAGCGCCCCATCATTGGTGTCAGTGGGAGGAATAGCGCCCCATCATTGGTGTCAGTGGGAGGCACAGTGCCCCGTCATTGGCGTCAGTGGGAGGCACAGTGCCCCGTCATTGGCGTCAGTGGGAGGCAGTCTGCCCCGTCATTGGTGTCAGTGGGAGGCACACTGCCCCGTTATTGGAGTCAGTGGGAGGCACAGTGCTGCTTCATTGGTGACACGGAATATCATTCAACTCAGAAGACGACCTTGGAGAGGTGAATATGAGGGACTGGGCCACAGAGGAGTAATACAGCAGAAGCATTTTCCCTATTTCCTCCAGCTCCCCCTCCCAGCAGTGACTTGGCAGCCTTCCAGATATCTAACCTATAACGTGAACAAAGCAGCTCTGAGAAGGGGGACATGAGCTACTGAGACTTAAATGACCTAATTGCCCATCTTGTGAATTTTGAGAATTAATTGATCCACAGTGTGTGCAGCTACAGAGGTCAGCAAGGGCTTGTTGTGAAGCTCATTAACAAGATGTAAATGCAGAAACCTCCGTAGCTAAGCTGAAATACAGGCAAAGCAAATATGGTCCAAATACAAGAGTAATCTGTATTTTCACTTAAAGCTTGCTGCCCTTTGTGCATTTCTTCCAGGGCTCTGCATTAATCACCTATGAAACAACCCCTGCACTCTGTATCTGTGGAGGCGTCCCCTTGATAACAACCGGTCACTGCTGCTCTCTTCCCCTGTACAGGGCAACTGCTCTTGTAATCGCCCCTTTTGAGCTTCTACAGGTAGCCTACAGCAGGACAACCATCTGGGTCCCACCCAGGGGCGGACTGACAACTCATGGGGCCCCCGGGCAATAGGGGATCACGGGGCCCTGTGTCCTCACCCACATTCAAACCACACCCAAAAAAGCCTCTGAAAGGTACTAGGGGCATCTCATGGGGCCCCCTACTGGGGCAGTGCCCGAGTGGCCAAATGGTCAGTCCGCCCCTGGTCCCACCCAAGTATCTGCTCAGCTTACTTTTACAAGGTAAAATCTTGGTTTGAAAAAACAAATGGAGCACATAATGTGGACTTATATCCTTTGTGGCTACTGAAGAATAAATATGATTAAAAGTTTTTGTGGTTGTACTTGGAAGATAGCACACAACACAGGCCTACATGTTTTTGGCCAGAGTTCTAATTTAACCCCTCGCCAACAGAGCACTTCTACCCCCTTCCTGCTACAGAGCACTTATACCCCCTTCCTGCCTACCGGACACTTCTACCCCCTTCCTGCCTACAGGACACTTCTACCCCCTTCCTGCCTACAGGACACTTCTACCCCCTTCCTGCCTACAGGGCACTTCTACCCCCTTCCTGCCTACAGGGCACTTCTACCCCCTCCCTGCCTACAGGGCACTTCTACCCCCTTCCTGCCTACAGGGCACTTCTACCCCCTCCCTGCCTACCGGGCACTTCTACCGCCTTCCCTGCCTACAGGACACTTCTACCCCCTTCCTGCCTACAGGACACTTCTACCCCCTTCCTGCCTACCGGGCACTTCTACCCCCTTCCTGCCTACAGGACACTTCTACCCCCTTCCTGCCTACAGGACACTTCTACCCCCCTCCCTGCCTACTGGGCACTTATACCCCCTTCCTGCCTACTGGGCACTTATACCCCCTTCCTGCCTACTGGGCACTTCTACCCCCTTCCTGCCTACCGGGCACTTATACCCCCTTCCTGCCCAGGCCAATTTTCAGCTTTCAGCACTTGTACCCATATGAAATTTTTTAGCATTTTTTTGAGACAGATAAAGCTTTCTTTTGGTGGTATTTAATCACCTCTGCGGGGTTTTTATTATTTGCTAAACAAACCAAAAACAACTAAAAACTTTGGGGAAAAAATTTTTTTTTTCTTCATTTTTGTTTCAAAATTTTGTAAAGTGATTTTTCTCCATCACTGATGTGCGCTGAGGCTGCAGTGATGGGCACTGATAGGTGGCACTGATGAGGAGGCACTGGTAGATGGCACTGATGGGCATTGACAGACATCACTGATGGGAACTGAAAGGCAGCACTCATATATGGCACTGATAGGCAGCACTGACTGGCACTGAAAGGTGGCAATGATTGGCAGCACTGATAAGCGGCACTGATAGGTAACACTGAAAGGCAGCTCAGATGGGCACTGATATGTGGCATTGATGTGGCACTGATGGACACTGACAGGTGGCACTGCTGAGGCTACACTGTCAGTGCCCTGATGATCAGTGTAGATGTCCCCTCAGAGGAATCCCGATTGCCGTCTCTCCTCTCCTCTGTCAGCGTGACAGCGATAACTGGCATTTCCCTATTTACATGCGATCAACTGCGATTGGACACAGCTGATCACATGACCGAGCCGCCATCTTCGGGTCTTCCTGTTGATCGGCGATCCGCTGTGTCCGAGGGACACAGCGCACCACCGATCGCCGCGCACGTGCGGTTAGAGTGGGAGGGCATCATAGGACGTCCTCCCAGAACTAGAGAACCGCCTTGCGCCCGTCATTACCTCATATGGTGGGCGGGAGGCGGTTAAAGTGGTTCTACAGGCTGAAGGTTTTGTTACCTTAATGCAGTGGTCAACAAGCCGCGGCTCGCGAGCCACATGCGGCTCTTTACACACTTTAATGCGGCTCTTCTGTGTGTCGGGCGCCCGCTCCCCTCCCTCCTCTCGGGCGGCCGCCCCAAAAGTCAGGACTCTGCAGCTAGCCCAGTAATGGGCAAACTACGGCCCGGCGGACCTTTTAATCTGGCCCGCGGAGCATGGCAAACATTGGCTGTCAGGATGTAGGCGGGGCAGCGTGACGAACTCCTCTCCTCTCACAGTCCGCCCTGAAGACCGGAACGGCACGGGAACACGGCGAGAGGAACGTGCGGAGCAAAGGTAAGTGAATTGACACAATATGGGGAATGAATTACTATAGGGGGGATGAATTACTATAGGGGGGGATGAATTACTATGGGGGATGAATTACTATATGGGGGATGAATTACTATATGGGGGGGATGTATTTTCAGTTTTAAAAATGTGGCTCTCAAAATAAATTTCAATCGTGGTTTTGGCGAGATTTGGCTCAGTTGAAAAAAAAGGTTGCCCACCACTGCCTTAATACAGTCTATACATCAAAGTAAAAATCCTTCTGCATGCAGCTCCCCCCCCCAAATACTTCCCTGAGCCTGATCTAGATCCAACGCTGTGCAGAGACTCTCTCTGCTCTCTCCCCTCCTCACTGGCTCCCACTGCTGTCGATCACAGACAGTAAGGAGGGACCGGGGAGGAGGCTAAGCTGCGCTATGTGTGTCTATGGACACACAGAGCCAGCGCAGGGGCTAGCCTGCATGAAAGCCCCCACAGCAAGTGGCTTTCGATTGTGGGCACTCAGTGGGGGGGGGGGGGAGCCAAGAACATCGACAGGGGGACCCCAGAGCAGGAGGATCGGGGCTATGCAAAGTAACTACAGAGCAGGCAAGTGTGACATGTTTGTTATTTAAAAAAAATAAAATGTGACCCTTTATAGTCCCTTTAAGAAGGGCTTGGATACATTTATTGGTAAAAACAAACCGTTGGGCCCCTTCCCTTCCTCCGGAGCAGGCCGTCATCCTCATTGGCCAACCTCATCGCAGGCTATCCCCTCTTCAGTCTATCATGAATGCTGCTGCCAGACTCATCCACCTTACTAACCGTTCTGTATCTGCCACCCCTCTCTGCCAATCCCTCCACTGACCTCCACTCAGTGTCCTCCACCCCTCTCTGCCAATCCCTCCACTGACCTCCACTCAGTGTCCTCCACCCCTCTCTGCCAATCCCTCCACTGGCCTCCATTCACTGTCCTCCGCCCCTCTCTGCCAATCCCTCCACTGGCCTCCACTCACTGTCCTCCACCCCTCTCTGCCAATCCCTCCACTGTCCTCCACCCCTCTCTGCCAATCCCTCCACTGGCCTCCATGCAGTGTCCTCCACCCCTCTCTGCCAATTCCTCCACTGGCCTCCATTCAGTGTCCTCCACCCCACTCTGCCAATCCCTCCACTGGCCTCCATTCAGTGTCCTCCACCCCTCTCTGCCAATCCCTCCACTGGCCTCCACTCAGTGTCCTCCATCCCTTTCTGCCAATCCCTCCACTGGCTTCCCATTGCCTAACGGATAAAATTCAAAACATTAACAATAACATATAAAGCCTTTTATAACTCCGCCCCAAATTACATCACCGATCTTGTCTCCAAATATTACCCAAACCGTACTCTCCGCTCCTCGCACGACCTCCTGCTCTCTAGCTTCCTTGTCTCCTCCTCCCATGCTCCTCTCCAGGACTTCTCCAGAGCTTCCCGCATCCTCTGGAACTCTCTACCCCAATTTATCAGACTATCGCCTACTCTGCTCACTTTAAGGCGATCTCTGACAACCGATCTCTTCAGGGAAGACTATCCTGCCCTCAGCTAATAATGGAATCTTCTATTCCTCCTACCAGTCCATCCCCCACAGTTACTACCTTTTGTACCACTAGCCCCTCCCTCTTAGATTGTAAGCTCCCAGGATCAGGGCCCTCCTATCCCTCTTGTATTGAACTGTATCGTTGCTGTATTGTCTTTCATTATATTGTAAAGCGCTGAGCAAACTGTTGGTGCCATAAATCCTGTATAATAATATAAAATCTGCAAATCTCATTTGTTTTCTGGTTGATACACAAACAAAACCCTCCCTATAAAAGGATTTGGCCGGTTCGATAACAAATAACCGACGAATCAAAGCCTGATCCAAGAGACGCGCCCGGCGCCTGTCTGGCTGAATTATTTTGCAGGATGGCTGCTGTGTACTTACTTCTCCTTCTGTGCCTTGAGGTACGGCTTGATAATAAGCCGGTGCATGGCCACATAGATAACGAGGGGCCCTATGGTGGCATAAAACACGGCGCTGGGAAGGAGCTGATCCGTCAGGTGGATAGGGAAGAAATATGTCTGGCTGGCTCTATTCAACCTGGAACAAAGAGGAGGAAGAGTAGATTAATGCAAGGAGTCTGCTGGCAGCCCAGCAAGGAAAAATCCATTATTTATACATGCTGGATCTCATCTGACCCCGGAGTGCATCACTTGACACATCTATTATCTACCGGCTTGTGATACGCCGCCATCTAATAAGCAGCCGCTGGATGGCCTGAACAACAAGACCGTTCATTTTATGCTGCTGGTCAGGCTGATGAGTCGGTCTTCCATTACTAGCCGCTGGCCGGCCTGGAGTAAGGAAAAGCAGCCAAGGAAGGAAGTTCCTTAACCACTTCCAGTCCAGACGCTTTCACCCCCCTTCCAGTCTCGACGCTTTCACCCCCCTTCCAGTCCGGACGCTTTCACCCCCCTTCCAGTCCGGACGCTTTCACCCCCCTTCCAGTCCGGACGCTTTCACCCCCCTTCCAGTCCGGACGCTTTCACCCCCCCCCCTTCCAGTCCGGACGCTTTCACCCCCCTTCCAGTCCGGACGCTTTCACACCCCCCTTCCAGTCCGGACGCTTTCACCCCCCTTCCAGTCCGGACGCTTTCACCCCCCTTCCAGTCCGGACGCTTTCACCCCCCTTCCAGTCCGGACGCTTTCACCCCCCCTTCCAGTCCGGACGCTTTCACCCCCCCCTTCCAGTCCGGACGCTTTCACCCCCCTTCCAGTCCGGACGCTTTCACCCCCCTTCCAGTCCGGACGCTTTCACCCCCCCTTCACCCCCCTTCCAGTCCGGGACGCTTTCACCCCCCTTCCAGTCCGGACGCTTTCACCCCCCTTCCAGTCCGGACGCTTTCACCCCCCCTTCCAGTCCGGACGCTTTCACCCCCCCCTTCCAGTCCGGACGCTTTCACCCCCCTTCCAGTCCGGACGCTTTCACCCCCCCCCTTCCAGTCCGGACGCTTTCACCCCCCTTCCAGTCCGGACGCTTTCACCCCCCCTTCCAGTCCGGACGCTTTCACCCCCCCTTCCAGTCCGGACGCTTTCACCCCCCTTCCAGTCCGGACGCTTTCACCCCCCTTCCAGTCCGGACGCTTTCACCCCCCTTCCAGTCCGGACGCTTTCACCCCCCCCTTCCAGTCCGGACGCTTTTCACCCCCCTTCCAGTCCGGACGCTTTCACCCCCCTTCCAGTCCGGACGCTTTCACCCCCCCTTCCAGTCCGGACACTTTCACCCCCCCCCTTCCATCCAGTCCGGACACTTTCACCCCCCCCCCTTCCAGTCCGGACACTTTCACCCCCCTTCCAGTCCGGACACTTTCACCCCCCTTCCAGTCCAGACACTTTCACCCCCCTTCCAGTCCGGACACTTTCCCCCCCCCCTTCCAGTCCGGACACTTTCCCCCCCCTTCCAGTCCGGACACAGTCCAGACGCTTTTACCCCCTTCCAGTCCGGACACTTTCCCCCCCTTCCAGTACGGACACGTTCACACCTTCCTGTCCAGGTCAATTTTCAGCTTTCAGCGCTATCACACTTTGAATGACAATTGCGCGGTCATGCAACACTGTACCCATATGAATTTTTAAGCATTTTTTTTTAAGACAGATAAAGCTTTATTTTGGTGGTATTTATTCACCGCTGGGATTTTTATTTTTTTTGCTATGTAAATGAAAAAGTCCAAAAATTTTGCAAATATATAATATTTCAATATCTTGGCCAAAATTTATTCCGTTATCTTTTTAGTAAAAAAAAAAAAATATTATATCCCAAATTAGTTTATAACTAAAAATTATAATTTTTAAACATTTTTTTAATTTTTTTATATTATTAGTTATGTTTCTTTTTTTTTTTTTTACATACTGTCACCCTAGCAGTACAGTGTCACCATGGTGACACTGTACTACTTGTGGGGGGTGATGAAGATTTTTTTTTTTACACTGATTGCTTTTACACCCCATAAAGGCTGGTTTTACTAACATATCAACGGTGAAAAATTGTGCTTAGGCATTTAGACTTGTTTTAACCCTTAGGCATGAAGGGGTTAATGAGAAAAAAATGAATTTAAACTATAGTATCAGGCTGCAACATAACATTGAAAAAAGTGAAGGGGGTCTGAATACTTTATGAATGCTCTGTATTTGGGTATTGGTAATTCACTTACTTGACCTTTAGAGACACCCCTTGTGGCACGCCAATACTGACGGTGGCTCCTAAAACACTGTGCCTTGAAATTTTCCTCTCAGCTCCATACTCCACCAAGGTCCCGAAAAGTCCAGCCCTAAAGGAAAAAGGGGAACACTCACGTTAAAAGCCAACTTGGCCAAAAGTGGTGGAGTAGCAAAGGCAAGGTGAGTATCAGTGGATTAGGGGGTCCTTTTCAAGGATGTTGTCCGTTTGCCCTGAGTGATCTCTTTAACCACCTGTGCTCCAGAAGGTTTCACCCCCCCTTCATGACCCGGGCATTGTTTCCTATTTAGCACTGCGCTACTTTATCTGGTAATTGCCCGGTCATGCAACAAATTGTCAAAGAACAAAAAGTTGAATGTTGCAAAACATTTCCAGAATAAGCACACAGCCTTTGCTGAAAAGTATTTGGATGGAGATGAGAGAAGAAAAGCCGTTTTCGGAAATGATGCAGAAGGCTGATCTGAGCAAAGATCAAGTGGATGAAATCTGCAAATTCAAATACAAAGGTGAAAGAAACGATATATGCCGTGTTATCTTCATTTTAGATGTCAACCCCCCCTGGCGGTATTCCCGAGTGTAGCTCAGGGTAAAGTTTCAGCACCACAAGCGGTAACCCCCCCCGAGCTACACTCGGGAATACACTGCAGCGTTGCTCCGGGATCTCTTCTCCACTTACCTTGTCCTGCGCTCCCGCGATGTCCCTCCTGCAGTGTCCCCGGCAATGTCCTCCGGCCGATGCCAGCATCTGTCTTCCGGGTTCCGTTCCCTGTGACGTCGGGACGTACGGGGGACGGAATTGGCGGGAAATTTGAAAATGTCAAAAAGTGACATTGACTAAATACACTAAAATCACATCGTATAACATTCCTGTATCAAACCATTTCACATACATTGTGTCCCGAGTGCTTTGTCCGGCGCCCTGCCTGCATTTTTACTGTTCTTTCTGCCTGGAAACTGAGAAACGTCCATGGCGTCCAAAAAGCGTCCCTTTAGGTCAGACGCGGTTTTAGACCGGCTAGAGAACAGCGATAGTAAATCAGAACCACTTGCAGAATTGAGTGATAATGATTCGTGGGGGAAATTCCTCATCAGACACTGAAAACGATTCTGCGACTGAGCTCAGCGATGTGCGAACTTGGCGCTATATTTCACATTTCAGTGTTTTTGGTTTGATTACATTATTGAATTAAATTTATTATTATATTATTATTTTTTATGATTATTTATTAAATTATAATTTATGATTTTGTGTTTCAAGTTTTATCATACCCGGGATGTTTACTAGACTCTTGTTCGGACAGATTTCAGTGAGTTATTCCCAAGAATTACAGGCCTACAGCACTCGGGACAATGGCCACTATACAGTACTCCTACTCCTCGACCTCTCTGCGGCTTTTGACACGGTTGACCACCCCCTCCTCCTCAAAAAACTTCACTCTCTTGGCCTCAAAGACTCCGCTCTCTCCTGGCTCTCCTCCTACCTATCACAGCGCTCCTTCAGCGTTACCTATAACGCTACCACCTCCCCTCACTCCCTCTCTCTGTCGGGTCCCTCAAGGTCCTGTCCTCGGACCCCTTCTCTTCTCCATCTACACCTCCTCCCTTGGCCAATTAATAAATTCCCACAGCTTCAATTACCATCTCTACGCTGACGACACACAAATCTATCTCTCCACCCCTCACCTCACCCCTTCAGTCTCTGCTCGTATCACAAGCCTACTGAGTGACATATCAGACTGGATGTCACTCCACTTCCTCAAACTCAATCTTTCCAAAACTGAGCTCCTAGTATTCCCCCCAGCCCCCCCCCCCCTGAATTCTCCATCAAGACCAGAAACACTATCATCAGTCCCACCCCTCAAGCCAGGGTACTAGGTGTCATCCTAGACTCCAATCTGTCCTTTCAGCCCCAGGTTCAATCGCTGACAAACTCATGCAGACTTCACCTCCGCAACATCTCCAAAATATGACCGTTCCTAACCTTGGACACCACTAATCAACTCATTTACTCCCTCATTATATCACGCCTCGACTACTTTAACTCCCTCCACACTGGCCTACCCTCATCGCAGGCTATCCCCTCTTCAGTCTATCATGAATGCTGCTGCCAGACTCATCCACCTTACTAACTGTTCTGTATCTGCCACCCCTCTCTGCCAATCCCTCCACTGGTTTCCACTCAGTGTCCTCCACCCCTCTCTGCCAATCCCTCCGCTGACCTCCATTCATTGTCCTCCACCCCTCTCTGCCAATCCCTCCACTGACCTCCATTCAGTGTCCTCCACCCCTCTCTGCCAATCCCTCCACTGGTCTCCACCCCCCCCTGCCAATCCCTCCACTGGCTTCCAGTTGCCCAACAGATAAAATTCAAAACACTAACACTGACGTATAAAGCCATCCACAACACTGCCCCAAACTACATCTCCGATCTTGTCTCCAAATATCACCCAAACCGTGCTCTTCGCTCCTCACAAGACCTCCTACTCTCTAGCTTCCTTGTCTCCTCCTCCCATGCTCGTCTCCAGGACTTCTCCAGGGCCTCCCCCATCCTCGAACTCCCTACCCCAATCCATCAGACTATCGCCTACTCTGCTCACTTTTAGGCGCGCTCTGAAAACCTCTCTCTTCAGAGAAGCCTATCCTGCCCTCAGCTAATACTGGAATCCTGTACTCTTCCTACCAGTCCATCCCCCACCTCTTGTACCTCTATCCCCTCCCTCCTAGATTGTAAGCTCCAAGGAGCAGGGCCCTCGAATCCCTCTTGTATTGAATTTGTACTGTTACTGTACTGTCTCGTGTATTGTCTCCCGCCATAATGTAAAGCGCTGAGCAAACTGTCGGCGCTATATAAATCCTGTATAATAATAATGTAATAATACAATTAAAAAAAATTCATATTTCCATGCAAAAAAATTTACCACTTTGAGCACAGAAATACTGACATAATCAGACCGCTAGGGAGGCTACGGGTTTTGTGGCTCTTGGTGGTGTTTTTTTTTTTTCATGGGAAATGGGTCCAAATGGCTCTTTGTGTGTTTAAAGCGGAGCTCCACCCAAAAGGAGTTCTGCTTTAAGGACTGCTCGCTATTAAGGATTGGCACTTTGGGGGGGGAGGGGGGGGGGGGGAGGAGCAGGTACCCGAATTTGACAGGTACCGGCTCCCACTTCCGGTCCGATCGCCTAGGTCAGTGGTCGGCAAGCCGCGGCTCGCGAGCCACATGCGGCTCTTTACACACTTTAATGCGGCTCTTCTGTGTGCCGGGCGCCCGCTCCCCTCCCTCTCCTCTCGGGCGCCCCCCCAAAAGTCAGGACTCTGCAGCTAGCCCAGCAATGGGCAAACTACGGCCCGGCGGACCTTTTAATCCGGCCCGCGGAGCGTGGCAAACATTGGCTGTCAGGATGTAGGCGGGGGCAGCGTGACGAACTCCTCTCCTCTCACAGTCCGCCCTGAAGACCGGAACGGCGCGGGAACACGGCGAGAGGAACGCGCGGAGCAAAGGTAAGTGAATTGACACAATATGGGGGATGATTTACTATATGGGGGATGAATTACTATAGAGGGGATTACTATATGGGGGATGAATTACTATATGGGGGGTGAATTACTATAGGGGGGATGAATTACTATATGGGGGATGAATTACTATATGGGGGATGAATTACTATATGGGGGATGAATTACTATAGGGCGGATTACTATAGGGGGGATGAATTACTATAGGGGGGATGAATTACTATAGGGGGGATGAATTACTATATGGGGGATGAATTACTATATGGGGGATGAATTACTATGGGGGATGAATTACTATATGGGGGATGAATTACTATGGGGGATGAATTACTATATGGGGGATGAATTACTATATGGGGGATGAATTACTATATGGGGGATGAATTACTATATGGGGGATGAATTACTATATGGGGGATGAATTACTATGGGGGATGAATTACTATATGGGGGATGAATTACTATGGGGGATGAATTACTATATGGGGGATGAATTACTATATGGGGGATGAATTACTATATGGGGGATGAATTACTATGGGGAATGAATTACTATAAAAACTTATTGAAACTAAAAACAGTGTACCATCCTATGTATTTTCAGTTTTAAAAATGTGGCTCTCAAAATAAATTTCAATCGTGGTTTTGGCGAGATTTGGCTCAGTTGAAAAAAAAAGGTTGCCCTCCACTGGCCTAGGTGATCGGAAGCGGAAAGGTGTCCTCCCTCATCCCTCCCTGTAGTCTTTTGGGACATGTCACAGGTTCCAGAAGACTACAGGACCATTCATGAAGCGCAGCACTACTCGCACATGTGCAGTGGGTACCCGGCTGTGAAGCCACAAGCTATCACAGCCGGGTGCCCAGAAGGAAGATGCCGGCCTCCTGGAATACAGGACGGCCGGTGAAACGGACTGCGGGGGACACACCGTGGGACCGAGGGACAGGTAAGTGGCTGTTTTTTAAAAAGTCAGCAGCTACAGTTTTTGTAGCTGCTGACTTTTATTTTTTGATAGGTTGAGTGGAACTCCGCTTTAAGGTTGCTGACCCCTGACCCAGGCGATCACAGCAGAAGTACCTGTCCATTTCGGGTACCCCCTGGAAGGTGCCAATCCTTAATGCGGAACTTCTCCTGTTGGGTGGAGCTCTGCTAATGCACACAATGCATGAAGGTGAAAAACGTTAAGGCTTTAAAACCACTTTAAAAGGTTTTCGCACCCGGCGTCCAGCTTTAAAAACATCATTTATCCCTCAGTCGTAAAATGCGAGAGTGACATCCAGAACATCTGAAGAAACTCCATCGCTTAAATGTTGTTTTGCCTTCAGGGTCAGGTGATCCGCTCTAAATGCACCCAGTCCCTCGGAGCTCCGCAGGTTCGATATCCAGTGTCCCGGGAGTCCTGGCACCTGCTTGTTCTGCTTACCCTTCTGACACCAAGAGGATTAAGCAACAAATGAATCAATCGGTGTAGAGAGAAAATAATCAGAGTATTATTAGTGGATCACCACAGGGTTAATCCTAATTGGATTGCAATAGGCTCATAATTCACTGTCAGTGCATCGATCGCTGTACAGGGCGAGAAAGCGATGGGGGGAAACAAAAAAAGGAAAAAAAAAGTAACGGTTTCCATTCTCGTTTTCGCAGCCTTGACATGGCGTGATGAAGTGAGCAGTTTGATAGCACACTGCGAGCAAGGACTAATCCCCAGATGTCGCGCTCATTCACTGCGGGTATGCGACTTGGAGGATAATGCCTATTCGAATCTCGTATATCTGCCTCAACTACAGCAATGAAAGCTGGATAAATAAAAGGTCGGGAAATGGCATGTAACAAGGACGAGGGATAGATACTCTGTATTACAGATAAATCATACGTTTGTTTTATTCCCACGTCAGGGGAGCGCGAGGCTGGCCGCTGAAATGGCGGCTTTTGGCCTAGTCTACCAAACTGGAAGAAACAAGAATGTTAAGCACACTGCAACCGATCAGATTTTAAGTTGAAGGCTGCTTCTACGGGACTAAAGGAAAGGAAAGGCTTGAATTTTATGCTATCGGCACAGCAGTTACATCTCCTTAATAGCATTTTAACCACTTGTAGACTGACACTGTGATGCGAGTCACTTTTGGAGGCCCATAGAACACATTTTGAGCTCATTTTGGAAAGGTGAGGAGACCCCTGTCTCAGCTCCCCATATCCCTATTATGTGTAAGTCACCCTGTGCCTGTTAGGGGTACAGGGTGATCTGTCCTGATATTGGGGTGGGGGGTTGTTGATTGTTTAATGACATGTGGTTGTATCCCATTGTTCTATTGTGTGTCTTGCTCGGGAGCAAACTATTATGGGATGTACAGTGAGGAACAGAAGTATTTGAACACCCTGCGATTTTGCAAGTTCTCCCACTTAGAAATCATGGAGGGGTCTGAAATTCACATTGTAGGTGCATTCCTACTATGAGAGACAGAATTTAAAAAAAGAATTCAGGAAATCACATTGTATGATTTTTAAAGAATTTGTCTTGCACTGCTGAACATAAGTATTTGAACACCTAAGAAACAGCAAGAATTCTGTCTCTCAAAGACCTGTTACTGTGCCTTTAAAAAGTCCACCTCCACTCCACTCATTCATCTAACTTAGTAGCACCTGTCTGAGCTCTTTAAAGACACCTGTCCACCCCACAGTCAGTCAGACGCCAACTACTACCATGGGCAAGACCAGAGAGCTCTCAAAAGACACCAGAGACAAAATTGTGGACCTCCACAAGGCTGGAAAGGGCTACGGGGCAATTGCCAAGCAGCTTGGTGAAAATAGATCAACTGTTGGAGCAATTGTTAGAAAATGGAAGAGGCTAAAGACGACTGTCAGTCTCCCTCGGACTGGGGCTCCATGCAAGATCTCACCTCGTGGGGTACCACTGATGATAAGAAAGGTGAGGAATCAGCCCAGAACTACAAGGAAGGAGCTGGTCAATGACATGAAGAGAGCTGGGACCACAATTTCAAAGGTCACTGTTGGTAGAACACTACGCCGTCATGGTTTCAAATCATGCATTGCACGGAAGGTTCCCCTGCTCAAGTCATCACATGTCCAGGCCCGTCTGAGGTTTGCTAATGACCATCTGGATGATCCAGTATAGGCATGGGAGAAAGTCATGTGGTCAGATGAGACCAAAGTAGAACTTTTTGGTCTAAACTTCACTTGTCGTGTTTGGAGGAAAAAGAAGGATGAGTTGCATTCAAGAACACCATCCCAACTGTGAAGCATGGGGGTGGTAACATCATGCTTTGGGGGTACTTTTCTGCGAAGGGGACAGGACGACTGCACTGTATTAAGGAGAGGATGAATGGGGCCATTTATTGTGAGATTTTGAGCAACAACCTCCTTCCCTCAGTCAGAGCATTGAAGATGGGTTGTGGCTGGGTCTTTCAACATGACAACGACCCAAAGCACACAGCCAGAATAACCAAGGAGTGGTTCTGTAAGAAGCATATCAAGGTTCTGGAGTGGCCTAGCCAGTCTCCACACCTAAATCCAATAGAACATCTTTGGAGGGAGCTGAAACTCCGTGTTGCTCAGCGACAGCCCCGAAACCTGACAGATCTAGAGGAGATCTGTGTGGAGGAGGGGGCCAAAATCCCTGTTGCAGTGCAAACCTGGTCAAGGACTACAGGAAACGTCTGACCTCTGGAATTGCAGACAAAGGCTTCTGTACCAAATATGAACACGGATCTTCTCAGGGGTTCAAATACTTCTGTTCAGCTGTGCGAGACAAATACATTCTTTACAAATCATACAATGGGATTTCCTGAATTTGTTTTTTTAAATTCTGTCTCTCAGAGTGGGAATCCCCTACAATGTGAATTTCAGACCCCTCCATGATTTCTAAGTGGGAGAACTTGCAAAATCGCAGGGGGTTCAAATACTTCTGTTCCTCACTGTGAGTGTTTATGTGTGTTACCTTAGTGGGGGGTGTCTCCAGCAGCCCTCCCTCCTGATGGGACTGTCTGCTGGTGTGAAGTTTGAATACCTGTGTGTCTCTTGTTACTGTGTGGAGCTGTGTGTGGAGGGCACCTATTCAGCAGGTGACCATACACGCTGGATGGACAGAGGTCTAAAGGAGGTATGTCAATGCATAAAACAGCACTTGAAGTCAAACACTGTTCTTCGTGCAAAAAAAATAGCCAAAAATGCAAAGACTGTAACAATGATACTATCCTCATCAGGGTTTCATGGAACCCATGGTTTCCTCCAGAGGTTGCTAGGAGTTACTTGAGCAATTACTGCCTCTCAGATACGTTTCCGATGACACCATTGATCTTTTTAGCTATCGGTAAGGGGGTAGGTCTTCCCAATGACCACAAACGTAAGGAGCATTCTTCTCACCGACCTTCACACCAATATATCAGGAGTTGTAGATATAGTCCTTGTAACAGGAGTCAATTTGGGTGGGTGGCCCATGGAACCCAGCTCATTTTGGAGAGGTGGCGAGACCCCTGTCTCAGCTCCCCATATCCCTATTATGTGTAAGTCACCCTGTGCCTGTTAGGGGTACAGGGTGATCTGTCCTAATAATGGGATGAGGGGTTGATTGTTTAATGCCATGTGGTTGCATCCCATTGTTCTATTGTGTGTCTTGCTCGGGAGCAAGCTATTATGGGATGTATGTGTTTATGTGTATTGGCTTGGTAAGGGAGGGTGTCTCCAGCAGCTCTCCCTCCTGATGGGATTGTCTGCTGGTGTGAAGTTTGAATACCTGTGTGTCTCTTGTTACTACATGTAGATTGTCCCCGCCCTGTGACATTATGCAGGGGGGGGGGTGGAATTTGTCCTGAGTGTATAAAAAGTCAGTTCGAGTTTCAATTAAAGAGTTCCATATTCAGACAGACTGGTGTCGTCTAGTCTTATTTGGTCGGCTGTGGTGTCTGTGGTCGGTGTTCGGACGGGGAAGCAGTATTCTAACGGAAGTACCCAAGCGCATACGGGGGTCGGTTCCGTTACAGACACTTTTTGTTTACATTTAAAAATCAGTATTTTTTTACTCTTTACTGAGAGATATGGGGTCCATTAGACCCCAGATCTCTCCTCTGCTCTTCTAAGCTTCGGATCATAAGAAGATTGGTATGATCTTATACAGGGAAGCCTACCCTACCTCCACCTAAGAACTGTACTTGAATCACCTTCACCAGATAATCCCCCACAGCTATCACCTTTTGCCTCACCTCAAGCCAGGCCCTCCTATTCCTTCTGTACTGAAATGTTTTGTAATTGTACTGTCTCCCTTATTGTAAAGCGCTAAGCAAACTGTTGGCACTCTATAAATCCTGTATAATAATAATAATCCGATGCTTTTTCCAAACACTAAGGGTTTGTTTACATCCAGCGCAAGCTTCTAATGAGGCAGTAATTGATGAGCAATGTACAGTATATGTACTCTGAAGAGCCGCAGAATTTGGTGGCGTACACTGAAGAGGCATGGAAAGAATGAAGCATGATGTCCGATGGAGTCACACTTACTTTATGGAACCTTTCACTCGCGTCTGTTCTTCATCTTGAAATTTGTGCTGGTAGCTGACCATTACAAAGGAGTGCGGGATTCCAAGCTGAAAACAAAAATTCTTAAAATTATTTAATGCAAACTTTGAACTTTGGAAGATACAGTCAGGTCCATAAATATTGGGACATTGACACAATTCTACCATTTTTGGCTCTATACACCACCACAATGGATTTGAAATGAAACAAACAAGATGTGCCTTAACTGCAAACTGTCAGCTTTAATTTGAGGGTATTTACATCCAAATCGGTGTGAACGGTGTAGGAATTACAACAGTTTGCATATGTGCCTCCCACTTGTTTTAGCAAAAAAATAAATAAAAACTCCCAGTGGAGAATAAATACCGCCAAAATAAAGCTTTATCTGTAAAAAAAAAATGCTAAAAAATTCATATGGGTACAGTGTTGCATGACCGTGCAATTGCCATTCAAAGTGTGATAGCGCTGAAAGCTGAAAATTGGCCTGGACAGGAAGGGGGGGAAAGTGTCCGGACAGGAAGGGGGGGGGGAAAGTGTCCGGACTGGAAGGGGGGAAAGTGTCCGGACTGGAAGGGGGGAAAGTGTCCGGACTGGAAGGGGGTGAAAGTGCCCGGACTGGAAGGGGGGGGGGAAAGTGTCCGGACTGGAAGGGGGGAAAGTGTCCGGACTGGAAGGGGGGGGGGGGAAAGTGTCCGGACTGGAAGGGGGGAAAGTGTCCGGACTGGAAGGGGGGAAAGTGTCCGGACTGGAAGGGGGGAAAGTGTCCGGACTGGAAGGGGGGAAAGTGTCCGGACTGGAAAGGGGGTGAAAGTGCCCGGACTGGAAGGGAGTGAAAGTGTCCGGACTGGAAGGGGGGGGGAAAGCGTCCGGACTGGAAGGGGGGGGGAAAGCGTCCGGACTGGAAGGGGGGGGGGGGAAAGCGTCCGGACTGGAAGGGGGGGGGGGAGAAAGCGTCCGGACTGGAAGGGGGGGGGGAAAGCGTCCGGACTGGAAGGGGGGGGGGGAAAGCGTCCGGACTGGAAGGGGGGGGGGGGAAAGCGTCCGGACTGGAAGGGGGGGGGGGGGGGGAAAGCGTCCGGACTGGAAGGGGGGGGGGGGGGGAAAGCGTCCGGACTGGAAGGGGGGGGGGAAAGCTTCCGGACTGGAAGGGGGGGGGGGGGAAGCGTCCGGACTGGAAGGGGGGGGGGGGAAAGCGTCCGGACTGGAAGGGGGGGGGGGGAAAGCGTCCGGACTGGAAGGGGGGGGGGAAAGCGTCCGGACTGGAAGGGGGGGGAAAGCGTCCGGACTGGAAGGGGGGGGGAAAGCGTCCGGACTGGAAGGGGGGGAAAGCGTCCGGACTGGAAGGGGGGGAAAGCGTCCCGGACTGGAAGGGGGGGAAGTGTCCGGACTGGAAAGGGGGGGAAGTGTCCGGACTGGAAGGGGGGGGAAGTGTCCGGGACTGGAAGTGGTTAACACAGCCTCTAGCTAGGAACCATTTAGCAGTGAAAGGAAGCGCGGAAACCTCTGGCGGACATCTGTGCGCACTATTCCACATTAGGTATTTTTAATGCAGTGCACTTCTATATTTATGGTTTTGCAAAAGCTATGCATCAGCCAAAAGAGCCCAAAAAGGCATCGTAAAAAGGACATTTATTAAAAAGTATAATTGAATGGCATAAAAACATTCATAGAATGGTTATAGTGATTTGGGTTTTAATGACACCCGGCCTGGAGAATTCAGCTTAAGTGGAGTGGAACGGGCTCTGAAAGACAAAATTCAGCGCGGAGTTCGCGTCTCGTGCGTTTCCTGAAAGCTGCCAGCGTTCATGGATGTTCTGGACGGGCGAGACACAAACTTTTCTGTCTTAACAATGAGCAATTAAGTGGTAATTTACTCCAGCAAAATCTATAGGATGATTGTAAGGGGACGTTATAGAGACGATTCTGCTGATTCCGAGTCCCGGGATGCCGAAAATAATCAAACGTGCGTTTCCTGCTTTTTTGCTTCAAGCTTTGCATTAAACATGAAGAGCATCTCACCGCTTGAATATTATCTGTGTGTATTCAGAGACGGTATACATTCATTTAACCATTTCCTGCCCGTAGGGACTAGTGGTGCACCGAAATGAAAATTCTGGTGCCGAAACCGATTCAGAATGCATGTGGCTGAAAACCAAACCGTCTGCGTATGTGGGGGTGGGGAGGCTCCAATTTAAAAAAAAAAATTCTACTTGGCTCCCTCGTCTCCTCCTCCCATGCTCGTCTCCAGAGCCTCCCCCATCCTCTGGAACTCTCTACCCCAATCTATCAGACTGTTGCCTACTCTGCTCACTTTAAGGCAATATCTGAAAACCTCTCTCTTCAGGGAAGCCTATCCTGCCCTCAGCTAATAATGGAATCTTCTACTCTTCCAACCAGTCCATCCCCCACAGTTATTACCTTTTGTACCACTAGCCCCTCCCTCCTAGATTGTAAGCTCCCAGGATCAGGGCCCTCCTATCCCTCTTGTATTGAACTGTATTGTTGCTGTATTGTCTCCCTTTATATTGTAAAGTGCTGAGCAAACTGTTGGCGCCATAAATCCTGTATAAGTATAATAATAGTAAACAACCCCCCCAAAAAAAGGAGCCTGACAAAGCTTCTAACAGATTTAATCCAATGCTTTGGAGGCCAGAGGAGATACCTGGGGTCTAACAGACCCCATATCTCTCCAAAAAGAGGACCTGTCATGGGACATAAATTACAAGTGATGTTGTTCATCCCCAACCCCGGCACCTCCTGCCTGGAGTTTGCATGTTCTCCCTGTGCCTGCGTGGGTGTCCTCCGGGTACTCAGGTTTCCTGCCACGCTCCAAAGACATGCTGGTAGGTGAATTGGCTCCTGTCTAAATTGTCCCTAGTATGTGTATGTATGAATGTGAGTTAGGGACCTTAGATTGTACGCCCCTTCAGGGTTAGGGACTGGTGTGAATGTTCAATATATATGTAAAGCGCTGCGTAATGTGACGGCGTTATATAAGTACCTGAAATAAATAATAAATCATCCCCCACAGTTACTACCTTTTGTACCACCAGCCCCTCCCTCTTAGATTGTAAGCTCCCAGGATCAGGGCCCTCCTATCCCTCTTGTATTGAAGCTGTATTGTCTCTCTCCATTATGTAAAGTGCTGAGCAAACTGTTGGTGCCATAAATCCTGTATAATAATAATAATAGTAAACAACCCCCCCCAAAAAAAAGGAGCCTGACAAAGCTTCTAACAGATTTAATCCAATGCTTTGGAGGCCAGAGGAGACACCTGGGGTCTAACAGACCCTAGATCTCTCCAAAAAGAGGACCTGTCATGGTCTATAAAATTACAAGTGATGTTGTTCATACCTCAACCCCGACACCTCCTGCCTGGAGTTTGCATGTTCTCCCTGTGCCTGCGTGGGTTTCCTCCGGTTTCCTTCCACACTCCAAAGAAATGCTGGTAGGTTAATTGGCTCCTGTCTAAATTGTCCCTAGTATGTGTATGTATGAATGTTAGTTAGGGACCTTAGATTGTACACTTCTTGGGGGCGGGGACTGATGTGAATGTACAACATATATGTAAAACACTGCGTAAATTGATGGCGCTATATAAGTATCTGAAATAATAATAAATAATAAACACCCCCCCCCCCCCCAAAAAAAAAAGGAGCCTGATGAAGCTTCTAACAGATTTAATCCAATGCTTTGGAGGTCAGAGGAGACACCTGGGGTCTAACAGACCCCAGATCTCTCCAAAAAGAGGACCTGTCATGGTCCATAAAATTACAAGTGATGTTGTTCATCCCCAACCCCGGCACCTCCTGCCTGGAGTTTGCATGTTCTCCCTGTGCCTGCGTGGGTTTCCTCTGGTTTCCTTCCACACTCCAAAGACATGCTGGTAGGTGAATTGGCTCCTGTCTAAATTGTCCCTAGTATGTGTATGTATGAATGTAAGTTAGGGACCTTAGATTGTACAACCCCTTGAGGGTTAGGGACCTTAGATTGTACACCCCTTGAGGGTTAGGGACCTTAGATTGTACACCCCTTGAGGGTTAGGGACCTTAGATTGTACGCCCCTTGAGGGTTAGGGACCTTAGATTGTACGCCCCTTGAGGGTTAGGGACCTTAGATTGTACACCCCTTGAGGGTTAGGGACCTTAGATTGTACACCCCTTGAGGGTTAGGGACTGATGTGAATGTACAATATATATATGTAAAGCGCGGCGTAAATTGACAGCTCTATATAAGTACCTGAAATAAATAAATCCCTTGTGGTAGCAATAAAGTTGATCAAAAAAAAAATTAGAGTGACATTGAAAAAAAAAAAAAGAAATAAAATGATAAAACATTAAAATTGCCCCCGTCCTCCCACTGTCATGTGCAAATGAGTACACGCATGTTGGTCCCGCACGCATATGTGAACATTGATTTCACAGGTGAGGTATTACCATCTCTCTCTATATATTTAGATATACACTCTGTTCCAAATTATTATGCAAATTATATTTTTCTCATTTACCTAAATAATTGATGTAAATAACAGTCGGCATAATTCTCATGTTACAACTATTAAGAGTACAATTCACATTTTATTGAACAAACCTCCTAATGAGAACAGGATTTTTGTTCCAAATTATTCCACACAGGAAGTTTCAAAACACTTTATAGGTTGTAAAGAACTGAAAATTGGCATTTGTTGTGTTTGCAGCAAATTTACTGAAATCAAAAGCTATTTCAATCAAACTTTTATCAACATTTTAACTTTTTAAACATTTTTAAACAGGTCACGTTACATTGTAACATAGAACCCCTTATCTGATAGCAGATCACAAGTCTTGCATCCATTGAACTTGTGAGTTTTTGGACAGTTTCTGCTTGAAGATGTCAGAGCTGCTGTTTGGATGTAAACTCACCCTCATAGATCTTTTGCTTGAGGATGCTCCAAAGGTTCTCAATAGGACTGAGGTCAGGGGAGGATGGAGGCCACACCATGACTTTCTCTCCTTTTATCCCCATAGCAGCCATTGATGCAGAAGTATTCTTTGCAGCATGAGATGGTGCATTGTCATGCATGAAGATGATTTTATTACGAAAGCATAGCTCTTCCTTCTGTACCAGGGAAGAAAGTGGTCAGTCATAAACTCCACATACTTTGCAGAGGTCATCTTTACACCTTCGGGGGCTCTAAAGGGGCCGACCAACTCTGTTCCCATGATTCTGGCCCAAAACATGACTCCACCACCGCCTTGCTGACGTCGCAGCCTTGTTGAAACAGGGTGGCCGTCCACCAACCATCCACTACTCCATCCATCTGGACCATCCAGGGTTGCACGGCACTCATCAGTGAACAGGACTGTTTGAAAATTAGTCTTCATGAGTATTTTTCTGCCCAATGCAGCCGTTTCTGCTTGTGAGCGTTGGTTAGTGGTGGCCGAATAGAAGGTTTATGCACAGTTGCAAGACTCTGGAGGACTCTACACCTTGATGTCCGTGGGACTCCAGAGGCACCAGCAGCTTCAAATATCTGTTTGCTGCTATGTAATGGGATTTTTAGCAGCTGCTCTCTTGATCCAATGCATGGATCTGGCAGAAATCTTCCTCAATGTGCCTTTATCTGCACCAACCCGTCTGTGCTCTGAATCCGCCACAAATCTCTTCATAGTGCGATGATCACGCTGACGTTTTCCTGAAATATCGAATGTTTTCATACCTCGTCCAAGGCATCGAACTATTTCACTCTTTTCGGCAGCAGAGAGATCCTTTTTCTTCCCCATATTGCTTGAAAATGGTGTTCTGCTTAATAATGTGGAACACCCTCCTTTAGTAGTTTTTCCTTAAATTGGGCTCACCGGCCAATCTAATTATCACAGGTGTCCGAGATTGTTTTCAGTGATCAAAAGAGCCCTGACACACAATGCCATCCATAAATATTTAATCTTTGTGACACTTAAATAGAATTTGCATAATAATTTGGAACAGGGTGTATACAGTGGGGATCGAAAGTTTGGGCACCCCAGCTAAAAATTTGTATTAATGTGCATAAAGAAGCCAATGAAAGATGGAAAAATCTCCAAAAGGCATCAAATATGTCGACAAAAGTTAGATTTTATTTCCATCATTTACACTTTCAAAATAACAGAAAACAAAAAAATGGCGTCTGCAAAAGTTTGGGCACCCTGCAGAGTTAATATCTTGTACTGCCCCCTTTGGCAAGTATCACAGCTTGTAAACGCTTTTTGTAGCCAGCCAAGAGTCTTTCAATTCTTGTTTGAGGTATCTTTGCCCATTCTTCCTTACAAAAGTCTTCCAGTTCTTTGAGATTTCTGGGCTGTCTGTCACGCACGGCTCTTTTAAGGTCTATCCATAGATTTTCAATTTATGTGGAGGTCGGGAGATTGTGAAGGCCATGGCAAAACCTTCAGTTTACACCTCTTGATGTAATCCCCCGTGGATTTCGAGGTGTGTTTAGGATCATTATCCATTTGTAGAAGCCATCCTCTCTTTAACTTCAGCTTTTTCACAGATGGCCTGATATATATTTTCCAGCAAAACAAATGCAGATTTTTACATGCAGTAGTAGAACTGGCCTGGCAGGCAAACTGTTAAAGAAGAAATCAAGGTATAGATTCCATTTTAATTATCAAATTATTAGTCCAGCTGGGATCATGTAACTAAGCAAATAGCATATCTCAGTGATCGATCAGGGAAACCGAATGAGTGCATAGAACACAGATGGGCAACTAGTGGGAGACTCTACATAACAGGGACTAGTGCAGATGGGCATTTGGGTTTTACTTCTAACAAACCTAGAAAATCATTTTTGAAGGACCTGGAGCTGTGTTTTTGGCACTTTCTATAGTAATTCTCTGCCAAACCGGAGTTGCGATCTCAAGCTGACCTCTGTAGTGGGTCCCTGAACAACCCTCAACCAGCAATAACGGCCTTACCTGTAACGCCAACGTAAAGTGGCCGGTCTTTGTGTCCCGCACAATACTGGTGTTCATAGCAGACTGGATACCCCACCGCCATTGCACGTAACCCATTGTGTTTTTGTCTAGATGCCGTGCCAGCATTGTCGTGAGGCCGGGCCTGATCCCCCGGGAGGAGAACTGCAGTACACAGTTTGTAGTGAAGAAACTGAAAGGAAACAAGGAGACATAAATCACAAATGGGGGCAAAAGTCTGTCCGATAGAAAAACACAAAAATGAACCAATGTTTAGATAGACCACACAGATGGACAGCCACTAAGAAGTGGTCACCCCAACTAGATGGGGGCGCAGGCACCCAATGAGGATCCTCCCATTCTGGAATCCTGACGAGAGGAGACCCAGGATAAGATGTGTTATGCGATCCCAGATTTAGGTAAGTAAATGAGGCTACATAAATCTGCCAAGGGTTACATCCCAAATGGGGCAAAAAGTCTGTCCGGTAGAAAAACACAAAAATGAACCAATGTTTAGATAGACCCTGCAGATGGACAGCCACTGAGAAGTGGTCACCTCAACTAGATGGGGGCGCAGGCACCCAATGAGGATCCTGATTGTAGGAGACCCAGGATAAGGTGTGTTATGTGATCCCAGATTTAGGTAAGTAAATAGGACTTACCTAAATCTGTCAAGGGTTAATTCCCAATTCAACTTTCAGTTTATATCATCTAAATACTGTACGTCCCGGCATGCGTCAAAAAAAAAAAAAAAAAACCTGCATGCATTTTTTTAAATAAGCAGCCAAAACCTGAGCATAAAAGCCTATCCCTTGCCAGCAAGCTACACAGAGGGGACCCCTGTTCTATGTGGAAGCAATGGTCTCTATACAGAGGTCCATCACACCCCCTACTGAGTCAGATCTATAGCACTGCAAACCGCAAAGTTCATGTACCAGTGCTAATTGAAGCTCCAGCTCTGACCCAGGAGGGGGTGTGTCTAGCAGAGAGACTACTGCTTCCACAGACAGCGAGGTCCAACTCTACAGTATGCTGGCAGAGGACAGGCTTTCCTATTCTGCATAAAGCAGAATACTGAAGTGGTTATTACTTCTGACAACTAGTTCAATATTTGTACGGCCATAAGTAACAGGACCTTGTGGTCCCTTGCTGAATGGCGATCTAGCTCGGACCAAGCAGGGGGCATGTCTGACCTCGGCAGAGAGACTGCTGCTTCCGCGTAGACAGCAAGGGTCCAACTCTACAGTATGCTGGCACAGGGCAGGCTTTCCTATTCTGGCTATAGCAGAATACTGAAGTGGTTGTTTCTTCTGACAACTGGATCAATATTTGTATGGCCATAAGTAACAGGACCTTGTGCTGCAGATTGGAGCTCTGGCACACCAGGGGTCATGTCTAACCTCGGCAGAGAGACTGCTGCTTCCACATAGACAGCAAGGGTCCAACTCTACAGCATGCTGGCAGAGGGCAGGCTTTTCTACTCTGGCTACAGCAGAATATTGAAGTGGTTGTTTCTTCTGACAACTAGATCAATATTTGTATGGCCAGGTCCTTGTGTTCCCTTGATTGGAGCTCTGGCTCGGACTCAGCAGGGGGCATGTTTGACCTCTGCAGAGAGACTGCTGTTTCCACACGAACAGCAAAGGTCCATCTCTTCAGCATGCTGGCAGAGAACAGGCTTTTCAACTGTGGCTATAACAAGACTATTGAAGTGATTCTTCAAGTTTCTTCAAGCCGGCTTGATCCGACACTCATCCTCTGCAAACCGAAGAGCTGCTGGTGAACGATCTTCCGGCAAGCCGCAGAATGACTCTTCTCTGACACTTTTTAATGCATTTGTATTTTTTTTTTATATATATTTTATCCTCTGCAATTTCCGCTCAGAAACAATATAATGTTCTTTAATCAACAGGCAGTCGGGGACGCACAAGCAAACAGATATTTTATACCGAGTCGATTTAAATAATTTCAATAATCGCCACATCCCTGGAGAGCTTACACAGTAAATAATAAAAAGCACGACTAGATAACGACGCTGTCTGTCAAATATATCACAGACACGCGTCACTGCGTGGAATTATATTGCCTCCTACAGACGGGAAGCTATATTCTCAAATCTGCTTGATTTGTCATTATTTTTATGTGGAGAAAATGCAGCAAACACATTTATGGCTGGTAATTAGAGAGATACTTTTTATAAGTCGTGTATTTCTGTTCCCTTCCGTACTTAAAGTGCACCTATCACTTAGACGGTTCAGAGGCAGGAAAATGGTCAATGCAAAAACTCAGCCAAAATATAATTGATGTATAGACATGTCCTATATTTATATCTTCGACAGAACCCATCTTGGAACGATTATTTAACCACTTCCAGTCCGGACACTTTCCCCCCCCTTCCAGTCCGGACACTTTCCCCCCCTTCCAGTCCGGACACTTTCCCCCCCCTTCCAGTCCGGACACTTTCCCCCCCCCCCTTCCAGTCCGGACACTTTCCCCCCCTTCCAGTCCGGACACTTTCCCCCCCCTTCCAGTCCGGACACTTTCCCCCCCTTTCCAGTCCGGACACTTTCCCCCCCTTCCAGTCCAGACACTTTCCCCCCCTTCCAGTCCAGACACTTTCCCCCCCTTCCAGTCCAGACACTTTCCCCCCCCAGTCCTTCCAGTCCAGACACTTTCCCCCCTTTCCAGTCCAGACACTTTCCCCCCCTTCCAGTCCAGACACTTTCCCCCCCTTCCAGTCCAGACACTTTCCCCCCCTTCCAGTCCAGACACTTTCCCCCCCTTCCAGTCCAGACACTTTCCCCCCCTTCCAGTCCAGACACTTTCCCCCCCCCATTCCAGTCCAGACACTTTCCCCCCCTTCCAGTCCAGACACTTTCCCCCCCTTTCCAGTCCAGACACTTTCCCCCCCCTTCCAGTCCAGACACTTTCCCCCCTTCCAGTCCAGACACTTTCCAGACCCCCTTCCAGTCCAGACACTTTCCCCCCCTTCCAGTCCAGACACTTTCCCCCCCCTTCCAGTCCAGACACTTTCCCCCCCTTCCAGTCCAGACACTTTCCCCCCCTTCCAGTCCAGACACTTTCCCCCCCTTCCAGTCCAGACACTTTCCCCCCCTTCCAGTCCAGACACTTTCCCCCCCTTCCAGTCCAGACACTTTCCCCCCCTTCCAGTCCAGACACTTTCCCCCCCTTCCAGTCCAGACACTTTCCCCCCCCTTCCAGTCCAGACACTTTCCCCCCCCTTCCAGTCCAAACACTTTCCCCCCCCTTCCAGTCCAGACACTTTCCCCCCCTTCCAGTCCAGACACTTTCCCCCCCTTCCAGTCCAGACACTTTCCCCCCCCCTTCCAGTCCAGGACACTTTCCCCCCCTTCCAGTCCAGACACTTTCCCCCCCTTCCAGTCCGGACACTTTCCCCCCCTTCCAGTCCGGACACTTTCCCCCCCTTCCAGTCCGGACACTTTCCCCCCCTTTCCAGTCCGGACACTTTCCCCCCTTCCAGTCCGGACACTTTCCCCCCTTCCAGTCCGGACACTTTCCCCCCCTTCCAGTCCGGACACTTTCCCCCCTTCCAGTCCGGACACTTTCCCCCCCTTCCAGTCCGGACACTTTCCCCCCCTTCCAGTCCGGACACTTTCCCCCCCCTTCCAGTCCGGACACTTTCCCCCTCTTCCAGTCCGGACACTTTCCCCCCTTCCAGTCCGGACACTTTCCCCCCCTTCCAGTCCGGACACTTTCCCCCCCTTCCAGTCCGGACACTTTCCCCCCCTTCCAGTCCGGACACTTTCCCCCCCTTCCAGTCCGGACACTTTCCCCCCCTTCCAGTCCGGACACTTTCCCCCCCTTCCAGTCCGGACACTTTCCCCCCCTTCCAGTCCGGACACGTTCACCCCCTTCCAGTCCGGACACTTTCCCCCCCTTCCAGTCCGGACACTTTCCCCCCCTTCCAGTCCGGACACTTTCCCCCCTTCCAGTCCAGACACTTTCCCCCCCTCTTCCAGTCCAGACACTTTCACCCCCCCTTCCAGTCCCAGGACACTTTCACCCCCCCTTCCAGTCCAGACACTTTCACCCCCCCCTTCCAGTCCAGACACTTTTGCCCCCTTCCAGTCCAGGCCAATTTTCAGCTTTCAGCGCTATCACACTTTGAATGACAATTGCGCAGTCATGCAACACTGTACCCATATGAATTTTTTTCGCATTTTTTTGAGACAGATAAAGCTTTATTTTGGTGGTATTTATTCACCGCTGGGATTTTTAGTTTTTTTGCTATATAAATTAAAAGTCCGAAAATTTTGTAAAAAAGTGTTTTTCTTATAAAATTTTGCAAGTAAATAATATTTCATCATAAATCTTGGCCAAAATTTATTCTGTTATATTTTTAGTAAAAAACAATTACCCAAATTAGTTTATAACCAAAAATTATAATTTTTAAAAAAATTTTTTTTTTTTTTTTACATACTGTCACCCTAGCAGTACAATGTCACCATGGTGACACTGTACTACTTGTGGGGGTGATAAAGATTTTTTTTTTTTTCTTTTTTACACTAATTGCTTTTTCACCCATAAAGGCTGTAAAAGCAATCATTTCTCCTCTCTGGCTGCATTCCTGCAGCCATTGAGAAATACTGTGTGAGCTGTGATTGGTCAAGTGACATCCTGCTTACTACTCTGCATGTGATCACTGATTGGCCAATCAGTGATCACATGATCGGGACCTCGCACAGAGGTCCCTCCAGCGATTGGTGTTCCACTGTGTCCAGAGGACACAGCGGGCACCGGATCGCGGTGCTGCGCCCTCCCGGGGAGCGCGCACAAGCAGGGTGCGGGAAGGCCGTTTATAAACAGCCACCCAACCCTGCACTGCCACCGTCTGGCCGTTTATATACAACGGCCAGACAGGAGGTGGTTAAAATTCAATTTTCTTTTTAGTATGTAGCGATCTGCGGTGACCAAGGCCCCGGTTTAACTTTGAAGAATTCTCATCATCCTGTTTCTCCAAAACGTCTGCAGAGAGCTTGAGGAGCCGTTTCAAGCATCCCCTGCAGCAGTCGCTTAGGAATACGCCAAGCACAGCATATTCACAGGGGCGTTGGGGATGCAACGTTTCTCTAAATTACATCATGAGAGATGATCGTGTGACTATAGCAAGTAGACCTTCATGCCTCGTTGGGTGCTCAAAGGGGCAGTAAA